GTTTTTTTTCCCCTTTGCTTTTAAACATTGTATTTTTAATTACGTGAAGCACACCTTGCGTATGAAATGAGTGATATGAATCCAGTTGATTTGCCTTGCCTTGAAAAGCATAACCAATTCCATCACTGATTTGGATTGTTTTTGTTTGTTTCTTTTTGGCAAGAAAATAATTGCTTCTCATATTTTGGTCTAAAACTCGCTAAAGGCGACGCGCCCTGTTGGTATCTTAAAGGTGCATGTGTGAGCTAATACCAAACGGAATAAACTATATATATATATATATTTTTTTTTTTTTCCACTCGAACAGATGCTGCAGATCATTTAGTCGATACCCAAATATACGCCTCTCCCCGAATAGATGCATTCGCCATCGCTTGTATGCTTAGCATGAGCTGGCAGGCAAATTGTGTGTTGTCATCGCAGCAGGACAGCGCGTAATTCACTATAATGCAGCAATCCATAATTGCTGTCATCCTCTGAAACTTCCCGTAACTATGGTTCATGTCTTTTGAAGCATTTCTAATCTAAAATCTAGTTCTTGCGCTGTACGCTCTTTTAATAATTTTAGCATAATGCTTTCATTTCTGTACTTTACTTTTAAATGTTTTAAATTCTTCTTTTTGTGTGTGGGTTGTTTTTTTTCCCCTTTGCTTTTAAACATTGTATTTTTAATTACGTGAAGCACACCTTGCGTATGAAATGAGTGATATGAATCCAGTTGATTTGCCTTGCCTTGAAAAGCATAACCAATTCCATCACTGATTTGGATTGTTTTTGTTTGTTTCTTTTTGGCAAGAAAATAATTGCTTCTCATATTTTGGTCTAAAACTCGCTAAAGGCGACGCGCCCTGTTGGTATCTTAAAGGTGCATGTGTGAGCTAATACCAAACGGAATAAACTATATATATATATATATATATTTTTTTTTTTTCCACTCGAACAGATGCTGCAGATCATTTAGTCGATACCCAAATATACGCCTCTCCCCGAATAGATGCATTCGCCATCGCTTGTATGCTTAGCATGAGCTGGCAGGCAAATTGTGTGTTGTCATCGCAGCAGGACAGCGCGTAATTCACTATAATGCAGCAATCCATAATTGCTGTCATCCTCTGAAACTCTTGCACGGTGGTCAGTTATAATATTGCTGTGGCTGCATCTTAACAAATGTAACGCCGCAGATAGGACATAGGGATGTAAAGAAGCAACCTGTCTGGACAAATCGGCCCAGCTGATCGTTTCAACTATTTAGCCTCGCAGACCTCTTTGTCTGTAACAACATTCCTCTCCGCTGCATTCTTGCCCCCCTGTCTGTCTGCGTGTCAGCAAATGTTACAGGCCAAATCATTCCTTGCTTACATGTCAAGAAAGCCCAGAGGGCCAATTATTATTTCGGATCACAGTTCGGAAGTCAACTCTGCTCACCTTACATGCTAATTGTCATATTTCTTGTGATAAAGAGAATATACCCACTAACTTTGCTTTCTTTGCTTCGGCTTTGCTTTAAGACGGTCTAAGAAGGGATGGGGCCCGCTAAGTGCTTGCCAGTCAGTCGCCTTCATCCTTCCCCCACTTTTGTTTTCTGTGGGTTTGCATTCCTTTCAAGTAAAAATGCAGTATTACTCCGCGGTGAAAGGTCAGGGCCAGCAAGGCCTTATGTGTTGGCCTAAAAACAGCACCTACATTTGCAACTCATATGCAATTCCATTTTTTCTATTCAAACTGTGCTAATTTAATCCCAACAGTTGAATCTCTTGATTAGTTAGCATTTCTCTTGGCTGCACTGCGTCCACTACATGTGGTTGTTCGATTTTTATTTATTTGTTAATTTCTGCCTTTTTTGCTAGCAAATGCTTTTAGCAGGGAGATGACATTGTTAAGTTGTTGTTTGAATGGGACCATCCCCTCCCCCCAAGACAAAAAGCCAAACCAGATCTCACCACAGCTGTAGTTTATGCTTTTAATTTTTATTTGTGCAAAGCAGAAATACAAGTGAAGGGGGTCATTCTTTCTGTGCTGCAATAGTTCAACGTCAACCCTTTTCAGTTTAGTTAATGATTCATCACCACTAGTGTCGTACTGAATGTCATAACATGTGTATTACAAGTACAAGTATAATCACAGAGAATCACAATCTTAGTTATTTCACATTGCAAGAAGTGACTATGTTACTTCCATTCTGTTTCTATTGGCCCAAAGTGAACACGAAATATGCACATATGCAGTGTTCAGCAATAACGACAACAATCATTTTTCTTTAACATGGAAATGTTTTGCATCAACAATTTACAATTACCAAGCAACTTTGGAAAAAAAGTGCACAAAAATATATACACAGTCTAAAAAAAAACACAAAAAAAACACAACAATAATAAAAGAGCCATGGACCAGTGATGTTAAAATAAGCACAGTGGTTAAGACTTTTGCCTCAATAGGGATGAACTTTTAAAACTTTTGGGGTGGAAGTTTAGGTTTGGACCAAACTTAAAATTTGAAGGTGGGAGTTGCTTGAGACAAGGGACTAAAATTTGGTCTCAGTGTGGTTTGTTCAATTAAAGACATGAAAATAATTAAGATGACTTAGTGTGACTTAATGATGCTCGAGGCTTGTGGCACTGAGTTAGTTTGTCGGTCCTTGGCCAGATAAACGGGAGCTTCAACCAGGCAGGCCCTCTTTACGACAGATCTTTTCATTCAGAATTGTGATAACTGTTAAACATTTGCGCAAAAAAGGGATAGACCTCTTTATGACTATGAAGATATTGAAGGTCATGTCACACAAGCCAAAATTTAACACACACATTCTATTAAACGTAACTAAAGAATAAAACGTGGCTCATATTTTCACATGTGAAAACCAATCTGATTTTGTTTGGTCGAATGGACAATATTTTGATGCACCCATAGTCCCATTGCATCTCCAAATTATGGAACACACACGTACGCACACATTTAAAAAGGATAACTGTCAAGTACTTAAAAAAAACTGCATGCAAAATAAAACAAGTCAAATGAATCCCAGTTTAATACTGAAGTACATTTTTTTCTTCCCCCCCAGTCCTTTGAGATCAAAAATGCTACACTGGGCATTCAAAGACATTTGGATGGTTCAAGCATCAGACAACTGGCGTATACAGTAGTACAGAGTAAATCACATATATTAAGAGCCATGACTTTTATATCAACACTATGAGGTAATGCCAACGGTACCCTTTACAGGATCACATTTTGGGGGTTTCCAAAATCAAACTAAGTCGCTCAAAAGTCAGACCCTACTCTAGAATGTTGTATGGATGCAGCACTAAACACATTTGTTAGACCACCACCCAGTGTTAGCTCATTTCAGGGTTGCCAACTAAACCACTCTGTCAGACTGTCACGATACTTGGCAAGCCAATTGTCGCTAGATTAGCTGCTCACAACTAGTGGGCTTGGAAAAGTGAAGTATGTTCAATATTTAATAAAACATTACATACTTGCATTATACTAATACGTATACCGTATGTTCCGCACTATAAGGCGCACCTAAAAGCATTCAATTTTCCCAAAAGCTGACAGTGAGCCCTATAAATCCGATGCGCCTTACATATGATGTTGCAGTCTCTTTATATTCCCCAGTGAGTTGTTTCCATTCGTGTTCCAATGCCATTTAGTAGTGATTATTAGCAGGAACCAATTGGAACCAAAAAGGGTTCTGCCCGATGCTAATTGACATGTCCATTCGCTGACACACACTCAAACAGACAACTACTTTGTGAGCTCTGCGCAGCCATTATGAAACGAAGATAATACCAAAAGCATTAACTGCTGAAGGAAGGAGACAAGCAAGACTTCTAAGGATATTTAGTCCCTTGTGGGTGTGAGCCCACGAGGTTTGTGTGCCTTTTTGTTGAAACAATTGTCTTCATAACGTTTCATTTACTGTTTTGTAATGCCATTTGTATTTATGTGTTTCACATCTGTGTTTGTGACCAGTTCTCATTGTTACAGCTGCAGGGGTTGTGAAGGCTCAATCTACATAAAGCTGTACTGTATTGTATTGTATTCTCTTCAGCATAGCGCCAGCTAGTGCAGGGGTCGGGAACCTTTTTGACTACGAGAGCCATGAAAGCAAAATATTTGGAACTGTATTTCAGTGAGAGCCACATATACAGATTTAAGTGAATTCAACAAAATGTCAATATAATAAGCATCCGAATGTATATTTTTTAATAATGTTATAATACTCACCACTAATGTGAATGGTTTTCCGTTCCTCACGATTGCTAAAGATCCAGCAAAACGAGTGGAATTATAGTCAGCTTGCAGGGTCCATACACGGAGTTGCTGCTGGCTAGCTTGCAGCCTGCTCAGTAGCTTGCACGCTTCCCTTCTATTGTCTCCTGCAGCGTATTTTGAAGCGAACGTAGCATGGCGCGTGTCAAAGTGCCGCTTTACATTCGACCGTTTCAACGATGGTATTTTGTCATTGCAAATTAGACACACCGCAGAACCTGTATTCTCCACAAGGGCGAATCCTTCGGTCCATTCGTCCTGAAGGGTACCATACGCGGTATCTTTTTTTCTTTTTGCTATTTTATTCGTCGAAGGATTAGCTTTGAGCGAATGACCGAGCAGACTGATTCAAAAGGGGGCGTTTACCTGTTTCCCCAGCAACGGCCTACGTAGGCCAGTATCATCCAATTTTATTTGCTCCTGCCGCCAACTGCAGCCCTGAACAGGCCATGAGCAGTGAAAAATCGATGGATGGATTAAACAAGCGGGGATATTTTGTTTTATCTGCGAGCCAGATACAATCATCAAAAGAGCCACATCTGGCTCGCGAGCCATAGGTTCCCGACCCGATCTCGTGGATGCATAGCGCAACTATTGTAACTTGAATGCTATGTGCCTTATGATGCAGAGTGCCCTAGGATGCATAGCGCAACCGCAGCCACTATTGTAGCTTGAATTCTATGTGCCTTATGATGCAGAGTGCCCTGTACTGTATATGAAAAATGTTTTAAAATAGGCCATTCATTGAAGGTGCGCTTTTGAATCCAAAGCGCCTTATCGTGCAGAAAATACGGCGCTTGCATTCCTCAACAGAAAATTTGTTTCAGTGGATGAACGCTATGCCAACAACATGTCTTGACTTCCCTGAGGAAGTATACTGTCTTGTAGCGCTTCATCATGATGTCGGATGGTATCAGGTGTTCGAATGCATGTAAAGCAAAACAAATCCATGAATCTTTTGAAGTAATTGCACAGGTTTTGTCACGAAGCGACATCAAGTCGAAAGCATTTCAACAGTTAACGTAAAAATAAGTAGAGTGGATGCCCAATGATGAAGAGGATTGAGTAGAATGACCATCCAAGCTGCATTCTCCAAGAGGAGCAGTATGTTTCTTTTGATTTCCTTGACAGCTCTCGTGGGTATTGACAATTGTGAAAAACAATATAGTTGTTCTGTTTTTTTTCATGTCCAAAACAAAACAAAAATGCACAAATGTAATGACATAGCGGATAATTTGAATGTTTTTTTTTTCTTCTTTAGCCTATACTGCCTTAGTATAAAAAATAGTTTAATACTGTGCATAATTCATTTACCATGGCACTGTAAATAATGTAAATCAAAACCATTTGTCTGAATTGTGTTTACATGTAATTTCCCAAATGCCAATGGAGAGTAAGGCAACAAAGAACACAAAGATGGAATGATGTCGTTCTGTTGAGCTGTCACTACTGTACTTATCGCACTTACCCAAGTTCACACCACGAGTGTACAAAGATGTGTGCAGATAATAAAATACCATATTAGTCTACGACGGTTTCACATTGATGATTTGAATTGAAGCATGTTCAACCCAGAAACAATTCACATACATGGAGATAAAACATGATCCCTTTCACTGGCCTAAAAATCATGGCGACAGCTAAAATTGCATGTACACCAACTGGATAATGTCAAGTCCTAATAATCCCACTAGCAAGACGATCCGTTAGTAACAGAGAGGGACGGGTTATTGGTACTTTGAGGTTTATATATAATATACATAGTTGGATGCTTAAGTAAGCAGGAAACTACCACAAGAAGTTCACATTTTGGCTCTTTCCCTCAGAAGGAGCAATACGTTGATACATTGATGCAATGTTAATGCTTCCAGTCTAGCTTCAACCGAAATCCATTTTTGACCTGCTTCAGTCATGGCATATATTAGTTAGATTCACGGAGCAATGCACAAGCAGAGATAGCCCTGACAAGATTATCTGTCAGCGAGCAGTTGAAACTTTGCGCTGCAGCGGAATTTGGGGTGAAGATGAGCACCCGGACTTGTGATTCAATTTGGCACCACCGGTACCAACAGCAGCCAGCACATACTCTTGTGGCAGAGTGTAAGTAAAGCATGGAATCTGTATCGGCTAGCATGACCTCGCTCAGCTCAAAAGGTGATCCAGTCTTCTTGCTCCGTTAGACGGCCCACATTTTCTTCTGCTGGAAGTAGGCATCAAATCTGTCCAGGGCGTATTCCTACAAGGTAGAACATTTGCAGAAAACACAGATTAGGCGTCGGGGCACATCATCCACTTTGCATTTTTAATAGAAATATTGTAAAAGTTGGATGATTTCAGTCAGCCTAGACCAGTGGTTCTCAACCTGAATTCGATCGAACCCCAGGTATTCGTTCGGTCTCTGTCTTGACTGTGAGGCAGGTGTGCTAACTGTGCTTTGCCAATTTGCATCATGAGGTATTTAATATTTGGAAATAAAATTCATCATGTTGTGCATTCAGTACATTAAAAAAAACATACTGTACAACCTCAACCAGGAAACAGACCAAAAAATAAGTACAATGGAGGGTTGGGGGTTGCATTCACTTAAAGATAGCGATCATACAGATGTCTTTTCTCATTTAAAACATGGTCCGAATCACTTTTTAGTGCAAACTTATACCGCATTTATAAGTCCATCAAGAGTACTTGTCTTCAGTTTGTGATACAACAAAATAAATGGTTTCTCATATTGTTGCATACGGAGAGTGTCTTGTGATAACAGGTTGTGAAGCGGCACTTTACAAATACAATTGATTGAATGTGTATTTGTCAGGAACACGTGGGATCTGTTATGCTTTGTTTCCTTTGATTCATGAGCTGGATTTGGGTCTAGCGCATTATACTGCAGCTGCTCGCACATGATTTGAAAGCTGACAAATGGGCAGAGGTCTCAAGTGTTGATAGGTGTGTGACCCACAAATTCGAGTGCAATGTGTAGAAGTGCAAACACTCAAGACATTTTGACATGGCGGTTGACATGGCAATCTGACCTGACCTGACCTATGCCGACCAGTTCTTACCAAAACATATGAACTCTGCAGGTCAATCGTGCTTACTGTTTAGTTTTCGTATTCGTGTTGATTTGCCTTTAACCCTTTCATGCACCCTGTAAGCTGATAACATGATAAGCTGTCCACTGTAGTAGCCGCCGTCCCCGAAAGGGTTAACATTTAACCCAATAATAGTGTCAAAGTAGGTAATTGCATCACTCACCAGATATCCGAACTTGATGGTCGATAGACGGGCCTGGATGATGGACCACAAGCCCCAAAAGAAGTGGGATGCAAGGGAGAATCTGTTTTCCAAAGCAAAGCACACCGACACTTGTCTCAGATGTTGCTTGCCTTTGCCATCAATTGTCTTACAGTGTCAAATGTCGTCATTTTACTGACCTGTTGACCTCCGTGTAAAGCTCCTCCTTCATTTTCATTTGGTCCTCTTGACTTAAGCTGTCGAATCCTTCATGGGACGCGCGCAGGTAATTTTCAATGAAGTGGAGCTGCTCAGAGACGACACAAGGTTGCTGAGGTCAGTATTTGACGCAGAAAGCACCAATGTGTTCAAGGCAAAAAAAACCCCAAAAAGTTCATTACACTGTAGCCCACACACCTGCTGAGCCTTGCAAGGGTAATCTTGAGCTTTCACTTTGAAGAAGGGAAACTCGTCACAGTTGTAGTCATACATCCACTCACAGAAATGGTTGCCAATATCAAATCCCCTGCAACAAATGAAAAATAGGATGCCGATGAGTTATGTTCCCACAAAATGACCGAATATATGACCTACGGTAATAAATCTTCATATACGGAGACAGCGGACCTGACATTATTTTGGTTTTCATTTGGCTTTATCCGGGAGTAATCTCTTGTAGCAAGGGCTCAATAATGTGTTGTGATTCCAAAAGATAATAATGTTACTGAACCCAACATCAGTGCTTTAATAACAGTGCCGCGTCCAACTCGGTGTGTTTTCATGCACTTTTGTCCACTCGAGGAGAGCACGAGATCTTGTTTTTCAAGTCGGTTCACTTCTTTGTTGTGAGGCTCCCTGCACTGAAGCCCCCTGCATGTGGCTTGTAGCTCTTCACAGCAACAGAAACACAGCAGGCCAATTCCAGAAAAGGTTGAACCAAACAACCACAAACTGAAATAAAGAACTGCCATATAAAAATGGATAATGCCTGCTTTTGAAATTTTCAAAGATACCCATGTTGAGATTTGTCGCTTTTCTTTCACTGTTGCTAACATAGTGCAAAGCAAAGATCGCTCCTGTACGCACCAGGAAATGTTCCATTTGCACATTTATATCAATCCCAATGCCTATTAGATGAAGTGTCCCGCACCTGAGCAGACTCCAAGCCTTGAGAACATTGCCTCCACTACGCAACTCCGGCAGACATGTCCCTCATTCACTTGACACAATTCAGTTCCCAGAAGTGTGTTACATTTAAACTGTGTTTAAAGCCCACTTTCTTGATATACCATACTCATTGGGCAAATCCTAACAAATATTTTTTAACATTATTTGTTTGAATTGTTGGAATTCTAATGCAATCTATTCATTGGTCGATTGCTTTTGAGGGGCCATGTTGACGCAGCCACGACATGGCCTTCTGCTTCAAAGTAGGTCACGTCACGGTGGACAGACAGTATACTCATTATACGATATATACCGGTAGAGAGAGAGAGAGAGATATATATATATATACACAGAGAGAGAGAGATTTATATAGATTTATAAATATAGTAATAGTGTGTCTATTTTGAGGGCTGTTTTCCCACGGAAATTTAAGAGCAGTGTTCACAGGTTGTGTGTGTAGTATGCCATTTGTGTCCAGTAAGTCACATGGCCACAGCATATGGGGAGCCTTAAAGGGGCTGTGCAAGGGTGGGGTGGGGAGGTAGAGCTTGGGGATTGGACAAAAGGACTGTGGGAGAAAAATGAAAGCTTTGTCTGCTCTTCACTGTGAGTCGAGACCAGCGTCAGCTACAGTGTTGCTGTGCTATGCAGCGCATTCGGTTTCCCGTTAAAAGCCATAAACTATATGATGAGCATGCTCTCAAGGACTCGACTGCCGCTGTTTTAAAAACAGCACGGCAAGCATAACGCGACATCATTGCATTAGGTCCGGATACTGTTGCTCTATGCATCCACATTGTTTGCTCTCACTGGCCTGCCAAATCTGGTTACATAACAAGTGCAGAGAGTATTTCCACATTGCAAACCGCGAGGTGACCATGAATTATGACTGCTGGGAGGATGTATTGATTCCATCCAGGCTGTGTGCCAAGTGGTGTTCTTTTCCCTTTCCTTTGCCCCATCAATCTAGGTTTGTGCTGAGTATCTCGGTTATGTACGGGTTTTAAGCGCTCTGTTTCTCTACCAGCATGCGCACATACTCGGAGATGCGCAGCAAGTTCTTTATCGGAGGGGATAATTAAAAGAGGATGAGGGATGTTGAAATTCAGCAGACTCTGTTGGTCAGTCTGCAGACACGATTTGTATCAGACTCAAGGATTTATTATGAAACTTCCATAAATGTTCAGGTTTTCAAACTGGATTTGGAAAGATGTTGACTATTCTTTTAAAAGAACAGATAGAGGCAGTTATTTTCGGAATTCGAGAGACTCTTAACTCTATAGGACATAAGTGTGTGTGTGTGTGTGTGTGTGTGTGTGTGTGGTTATACACTTTTCATGATCTCAAAATTCAAGAGGAGGAAAAAGCGATTTCTTTCACCCTTTCAGGGACAGCGGTTACTAGAGTGGACAGCTATTCAAATGTTATTTTCTCTTATACGAATGAATCTCAATGTCACAGTTGTGCATCAACCACTAAAATGGATCCTTATGTGTCTTGCCATCCCCTGCCATTATTTTTTTTTCATGCCTAAAAGACTTATATATAAACACTTGAGAAAAAACCCTGATGTTGGTGATCACTATTTGTGCATGAAAGAGTAAAGATGATTAGTGACATAAAAGCAGTGTTGCTGTGCAGGATCCAACAATGACCGTACGTGGACCATAAAAAAGAAAATAAACTTTGAGGAAGAGAACAAAGGACAATAAAATGTTTGGTTTAATTTGCAACTGCGCACTTGAATGGCTTGTCTATCCAGTTAGTGAGGAGTGTGCAAGCATACCTGTAGTTATAGCTGCTGTACTCAAAGTCAATGAGCATCAGCTTCTGTTTGTCCGACTGATGGTGGTCTTTTAGTAGTAAGATGTTTCCTAAAGCAACAAATGCTGTTTGTCACCTTTAGTGTCGATTTTACAGTATTTTACACATACAGCACATTTGACAATAAAGTTGTATCCAATCCAATCCAAACAGTGCTTATATTGCAAAAAGAGAATATATCTGCATGATTTTACCTTCTTGACAATCGTTGTGGCAAAACACCACTGGAGAGTGGGTGGATTCCAGCAGAGACCTGAACACAGATCGACAACAGGCAAGGTCAGCAGTGCACTTCACAAAACCTGCATTATGAGGTTCACTTGATCATGATTTTTTTTTTTTTTGCTGACTGGCAACAAACGTAATCAGTGTTGTAAAGGTCATCTGTGTAGACGAAACTATGACACCAAGCACAGACGTCATCAAGTTAATCACCCATGAATGAACATAATCGGCTTTAATATTACCGGTGCTCCGGTGGCATTCGGTTTCACATTCTCACTACAACAATGTTCTTGATGTCACTTTCAATTTTGTTGGTAGTGTGCAAAATCTACCAAATGGAAAACACCTTCACATACCCACATTTTTGATGATGACCATTAGAATAAGAACAACATACTTGAGCCAATCCATCTCCTGCTGTAGGTTGTAGCTGAGCAAGCGGTTGAAATGGCGCAAGTGAGACTCCCGGGTGAAGTTCAGCCTCATGACTTGGTTTAAGTACCTGATGACGAATGCAGACAAACACAAAGACGTATTCACTCCACGTGTCAATTATGCAGTCAGCGCAATGCTAAAAGAGGCACCAGGAATCCCTCTATACTTGCAGGTCGATACACTGAAAGTGGATGTCACATGCAGGCAAGTGAAAAAGGGAAAGGGATATATTTTGAGCTTTTGAGAATTAATATGCAGGTCAGTGGCAACAGAGAGGTGACATGATAACAAGAAACCCTTTATGAAGACAGTGCTGCGACCCGGCGAGTGTCTGCTTTTGGGATTTCTAAGAAATTGCAAACAGCATGATTACTTCATAAACCATTCACAGTGTAAATGCAGACTTGTCACTGAATCCAAATGATGTATTCTCATTTATTTTGTCTCAATGACAAATTTATGAGTGAACTGGGTCTTTTTTGTTCCCTTACAAATACACCTGGAATATGTAGCGAATATTTAGTCACAACAAATAAAATTGCAATCTATGCATCTTTTAGTTGTAAGATTAAGATTGTTTGCAACGTGTGACCTAAAACGAAACAGCAATCATGCCACAGCATACGAGTCATATGAGTACTACACTACTACCTTGATGTCATGTCATAAAGCCCCACTTTGAAACTTTCCATGAAGAAAAGTGGAACAGGACGATGGACTTTGTCACGGCACATTGGCAATAATCCTGCAGCGTAATCTTTGTAAACAGCTAGCAGACAAACTTTGGCTCGGTTCAAACGGAAATACGGGATGATATCGATGGAAGTTATAGAATTCTAGATGTGTTATCTTTGAAAGTGGGGAATGGGGACTTTACAGTGATTTAAACGTGGAGCAGTTTTTGTTGACTCATTGTATAAACTGGCCTTACACATAAAGAGGAAGAAGGATGTGTTGTTGGAGTTTTTATCTTTATTGTTGTTTTTTTTTTTTTTTTTGACCAGTAACATTACGGCATAGAGGAAAACTACCGGACATGCAGTAGGTTAAAGGCATAGCCTTTGTCTCAAAAAGATAGCTAGAAAATAAACATTCACTTTTGTTCAAGCAGTCATATGGTATCAAATCCTCTAATATGAACTTCTGGATAAATTCACCTGGAAAATCTGGACTGCGCTGCCTGCCAAGACCATTTCATGCCAACCTAAAATCAGTCTGGAGGTGAACTACAAACGTAATGACTTTGAAATTGAAGTGCAGGAAAGCGGAGCATATGTGGAGAAAAACTAAAGTCCCAAGTTCATTTTGACCTGTACAGACAAGGTCTTTTGTAATTTGAACAAAGAGTTAGTGAAAACTAAACAACACTTTTCTGAAATCATGACGAAGAACCTCAACAATACGCAAACTCAACTGGGGTCGACAAACTCATAAATCCCCCAAACCAAATAGCAACAGAACTCTTCTCAACAGATAAATGCAAATAATTTGCATGCTACTTTAGTGAAAGATCATGCAGTACTTCAAATCACCTGGGAATAATTCAGTGACCATGACAGAATTTGATACAGTGGATCAAAAAACTATCACAGATTTGTTTCAGAAGTTGAAACCATCAACGAGCTGTCTTGAGCCAATTCCATCTGACTTTTTCAAAACTATTGTGAAATGTGTGCAAACCAAGTTACAGGAAATAATCAACTGCTCACTTAAGGCAGGCGAGCTTCCTAAAAACCAAAAACACAGAAAAAAAAATGTAGCCGCCGTCAAGGTGAACGTAAAAGAGAACGCTGGATGTCTCGTTAGTAAATTATAGACAGAAAGTGCCTTTTAGTGGACTTTTTGATCAATTCCAAACATGTTTCAGACATGCAGGGAATGTGTCTAAAATTGCTGAGTTACTTTGTAACCATTGGAAGTTTTGAATCTGATTGAATGGCCATAACATGTGGGGTCCCTCAAAGGTCAGTCCTTGGACCCATTTGTTTAGTCTGTAGATGTTACCGCTGGGTCAGTTGCATCAGAGTGCCAATGTTGGATGTCATGGTTATGCAGATGACCCACTACTATATTTATCAATGTCCCCAAATGACAGCAGTTCAAATAACGAATTGTGTCACTGTGTCTGGAGCAAAAATAGCTGGATGAACCAAAGTCTGAAAATTCTGGTACGTGATTTCTCTTTTTTTCCCTTTTACTTTACTTGTAAATATTTTTAAAGTTTTCTGTTTGTGTGTTTTGACATTGTCAATTAATGGTCTTTTTGTATTTATTTTTTCTCTGCTTTGCTTGTGAGTGTCATTGCCTCTTACAGCGTGTTTAGCAAATGTGTGTAGGTGTTGTTTCCTTGCTTGTTTAAGTTCCCTTTTGTATGAAATGGGCTATGTAATAAAAGTTGTCTTGCCTTGCCTATTATATTGGAACAAGTAATAAAAAAAGAAATAAATTCAAGAGTGTCGGTGCCCACGTTAGGCACATTAAAGTCTCAAGTATCCTATTCATGTTCCTGTCAGTTTGTAACCTGCTAGCTAACCCACTAACTCCATAATGTTCATGATCGATTTAAAATTACATATTCATAGAAAAAAAACATTCTAATCAATATTTAAGTACTCGGTTGTTGTAGTGAAACACAATAAACACAAGGAAGTACAAAGTGAAAGGACAATTCTCAATTCAAAGCGAGGCAGTGCTGCAAAGTGGTCAATGGGTCAAACGAATAGGCGCTCAATTACAAGGAGTGAGTGGGTCAGGGCATTTTTGCTCTTATCTAATTTCATGTCAAAGAGAACTGCTGGATTTTGAATTAAAATAGGATTTAAGAAGAAGAAAATGACAAAAATAGCTACATTTAAGTGCTTCACAGAAAAAATTCGGCCAGTCCGTGTTACAACATACACACAATTGCAAAGTATAAATGACACCACCTCTACCTCAATTTGGCCCAGGAAAACCCCGGAGTTAATTTAGTGACTTACTTGTCCATGGTTCCAAACAACCATTTGGGCTCCTTGTTGAAAGGCATTCTCATTCCATGAAACTTGGCCATTTTCTCAGCAACCTCTGCCGAAATGCTCGGGTTGCTCAGTTCGCACGTTTCCAGCTTACGGCTCTGTTGATACATAATGTGCTTTATTTAAAGGCATGAAGTTATAGTCTCTTTAATATGCACAGACTGGCAACAGAATTACAAGCAAATCAAAAACAAGAATAGTCTCTCTTAAATGAGGTACCCAAAATCTAGACATAGCTCTCCGTTTGATGAGGTGCAGTTCTACAGCGCTGCAAGCTGCAACTACTACTACTACTACTACAAAACCAAAATAATAAACCTATTAGTAATGTACATTTCTCTGACAGTGTCAATATATACTCAGAATATTTGAATCAGTTCTGGGGTTTCAGTGTACATAGAGTTGTGACCACTAAGTGTTTTTCAATTGATATTTTTTCCATACGATCACATCTAATAAAATGCAAATTGGTTTTTTTTTGTTTTTTTTTTAACCACTTAACGACAAATATTGCATGAATCATGTAGATGCTCAAGAGTCGAGTACTAATAAGCATGGTTCCCCTCCATTAACATTAACATACCGGTACATGCTATCAATAAATGGTGACTTACCGGCACATACTGCTCCAGTCGTCCCTGAGGAAAAATCCCGTAGAGTTTCGGTCCCAATTCTCTCTCTGCCAGGATTGCAAACATCACACTCTCCAAGACCATGGCCTCTGCCCCCTAAGATAGACATGCGACAACCATAAGTAACAGCTGCAGACGTCTGATACTGCCCTAACGAACAACCCAAATAATGTGTGCTGTAAAAATGATGCACGAGGAAAACAAAAACAGGGCTTTCAGAAAACTGGAAAGGGGGGAGAAGACACGATAAATTTCCCTGGCGTAAAAATGATGCCAAAACATATGGTGGCGTGTCACTCGCGGTGGCAGCCTCTGATGGGACAAGCTGAAAGCCACAACTCATTGTTCCAACATTTGCGTTAACCAACCAAGTTTGAATAATTCTCACAAGTACAAATGAGCGCCCTGAAGCATATATTCGAAAACATGACATACAGTTCTCATCTCAATAGCTTTAGTCATCTGATGCACATGTACCGTATTTTTCGCACTATAAGGTGCATCAAAAAGTCTTCCATTTTCTTAAAAGCTCACAGTGCGCCTTAAAATCCGGTGCGCCTTGTGTATGGTCATTATGGTAATATGTCGACCGCAAAATGACTCCTTGCTGGAAACATGCTTACAGTGTTATAATTTGCTGTAGGTTCAGTGAACTGTGTCGCTGCTTTATTAAATACGTTTTTGTTGCAGCTCCGAAAAAAGGAGAGCTGTGGTGTTGTTTTTTTTTAATTAAAACGGACACTTTATTAATGCTTTTCACAGTCTCAACAAATACAGGTACGTCTTTGTCCGTCTCCGTGCCTTCTCTTCTTCCGTTCGACTCAAGAGGCGTTCATGACCGCCTTGGAAAAACGTAATTTAACGATTCCTTCAATGAAGCTTCAAAAATCGAAAATAATGCATCAAAACAGAAAATCAAGCGAGGAAATACAAAATAAATTCTATAGCCCCCCTACAGAATTTATTTTGTGATTTCCTCGTTTGTGAATACACAACAAAGGAATAAATAACAAACACTTCTGAGACAGTCCAGTCTCCTACATTTTACTGACATCTGATCGTTCTGTTGAAGCTACGCTCAAGGAAATGCCAAGGGGGGGCGATAGAATTTATTTTGTGATTTCCTCGTTTGATTTTCTGTGTCGATGCATTGTTTTCAATTTTCGTAGTTTCATTGAAGTAATCCTTAATTTATGTTTTTCAGAGGCGGTCATGAACACTTCTCGAGTCGAACGGAAGGAGTGTAGCTCCATTTCGTGGATGCATTGTAGATTGCGTCTTGTAACGCAGTGCGTCCAATATATGAAAAAAATAAATAAAAATAGCCCATTCATTGAAGGTGCGCCTCATAATCTAGTGCGCCTTTTAGTGCGGAAAATACGGTACTTTATACTATATTATCTTCAAGAGTTTAACTTCTTTTATCTCGTGCAATTAAAGATAGCAATGACATTTTGAGTTTCCTGAATAAGGTGACATTATTTTGGTGACTTCAGTTTGTACAACTATCTCTGCAGGGGTCCAGCAAAACAAATGTGATGTCTTTATCAAAACACCAATTGATCAAGGACTGTTCAAGAAAATACTCCAAAGAAATGCTTTCTTAGTTTTCAATATGCATATATGAGCAATAAATCTATGTCTGATACTGGCTGAAGGAAAGAAACAAGATGGTGGGGAAAGATGGTGGCTCGAGTCAAAGACAAATCAGCTGTTGTTGCTGGTTAGTTGGGTTCGCCTGTCAGAGCTGCGAGGCAAACACAGCCGATGGATTCAAACTTCCAAGAGGCCTTGGCCCACCGACAGCACCAATCACTGTTGAAGCTCCTGAAGCCAAGTAGACAGCCTCATCTTTCTTCCTTTATCTTGCTAATACAGTACACACACACACGCACCCGCACACACAATGAACTTTGCCAGAGAGCCAATCTTGGTTTTGCCCCATCTCCTTCACAGCTTTATTTCACGTTTGCCGTGCAGCTGTCAAAAGTCTTCGCAATCTCAAAATCTTCGCTGTGTTGATGTTTAAGTCTTGAAAATGTTGGACTATGTTTTTAAATGTAAGCGACATGTGCTGAGTTTATTTTTTCTCCTGCTCAAACCATCCTCCCATTGCGGAGAATGGTTGGAGTCGATCGTTTTTTTTTCCCCCTCCTCATCCCGACTGTTTCCTTTCACATCTAAGATATCGGGGGCGCTTAACAACGACACGCCAGGCTTCTCTTTCTGTCTCCCCCATGTTGGTTATTGCTGTGCCGTTTTTCGAAACGGGTTGTAACTGGGAAGTAAATTCCTTATGTGTTTATTGCATACTTGGCCAATAAATCCTGATTCTGATTTCTCTACAGCGACTTGCTGCAATGTCTTTTGAGCTTCAGTTGCCAATCTTACCAAATCGACATAGCATATGGAACAAAAAAAAACAAATTTTCACTGGACAGCATAGCAATGCCAGTGTAGGAATTAGTGCTGCATAAAACGCTGATACTTCGACTTTGGTGAATAACCTTGAGATAAATGGCTGCCACGGCAGAACGTTGGGATGACTTCTGGGTTCTTTGGCCATCAGCCAGGGAATGTCGGACAGTCCAGCAGGAAGACGTCTTGCCTTAAAGGAAACGGCTATGCTTTGCGAGCCCTTCAACGTCACGTCAAATCTTTTTGCACTGCATCACGAGGACAATCACTGAGATATGCTGACATCTCTATTTTCTGTAAGATACAGTTCTCTCAAAGAGCATTGGAAATATCAGGACTCACGTACACTTTCAGGAATTCATTTCAAGTAAAGAACAAAATGATGGCAGACTGTTGAAGCGGTCGCTTAAAATTCGGCATTGCTTTCAAAAGAAACGTGACCTATATTTTGAGACAGGTCAAGGAACTCGATGTCCACTCAACAACTGATCCTCAAATGCCGAAACCAATGAAATTCCAACTAAACTGGGTTAAGCCCATACATACCGTTTATTTCAGGATATTCACCAGAGCAACATGAACAGTCACATAATTTAGACACTGCTCAGAAGTGGAACGTTGTCATCCTTGCCAGTGCGGAGTAAGCGCCCCGTTCTTACGTAATCCCCTCACGCAGGGCTGATCACGTGTGGTTTTAAATCTCCAGCGTACATTATCTAATATGTCATCATCATCTCACCATGCGCATACTGTAATTATATCACCCAACTGTGAAACTCAGGATACAAATATTCAGAACGCGCCGTACTCTTTCGACGCTCTCAAGTGTTGCACACGAAGCAGTTGGCCTGCTTGAGTCTGCAACCATCCAAGTCCAGTGTTTAGTTTCCTTGCTCTGAAATGAATGGGGCTGATGCCAAATAATGTCTTTTTTCTCACCAATTCTCTGAGAACAACACTGAGAACTAAGGCAGTCTTAAAACATGTCACAATTTGGTTGTCAAACGGAGAGCATTTTATCATTCCCACAGGAGTTGGCACCTTCCTGATACCCTTTCCGACACTGGAAGTTGATGAAATCTTAGTCTGAAAGCTGACGTACGCTCCGGGATCAGAGCTACTGCCATATATCAGTGCCCCGATGTTACGTGGCTAGCCTTGGAGTGTTTCAGCAGGTGCACTCTGAGCTATGTGACATCTGCTCCAGCAACCACAATGCTTATCTCATGCTTGTCCCACAATGTGTGTCAATAAGCCAGTTGAGGCAACGATGATAACTACATTTGACCTGAAATGGGAACATGATCTGAGGTACGACTTGAGAACCTCAAAGTCACTGAACGATACGACAAGGCCTACTAAAATCTGACCTCTTGAGTTGATGTTACGCAACACTAGCCGTGGTCTACGTCGAAGGACGACGCAGCCGACATAAAGAGGTAACAGATACCGCGCTATGCTGCAGAGCAACCTGGTATCACCTCAAAGGGATTAATGCAGTGTCATTCCGTCTAAGCCAAATAGGATTAACCTGCGCCAGACACACTGCAGATGCCCAAGGTTACATTATCTCTCTAACAGGCGGACAGCTGCAGCTCAGTCTTTTTGAGACTTTGCTATGGAGAGGAAAGGGCTGCGGCCCTAAATCTTCACTCTGGACCAAAACAAGGTCACAGATAAGAGTTGCTGAAGAGATGTTAGTTTGCTTCAAACTGTTTCAGGCGTCCTTGAACAAGGCACTGAAAATGCTACACAAATGAGCTACCCGCATGCTCTCTTGATCAAGTTATACTGCGCATGTGTTTGGATTGATTCGGTTTGGGGTGCATGCCACCTACTGCAGCGCCGTGTGTCTAACTAATTTGGGTGAATGAAAAAATCACAAAGAAAACGGCGCCGTCACCATTCGAGCCTACAATCGAATGACTTCATTGCGATCACATGATGGAGGGGGTTGTATTTCACCCTCACAATGTGAGAGGTCTGTGTGACTGAGAGGTCATTGTGAGGCCTCAAGCTGCTATCTTAAACTGAGCCCATTCTTGTGGCTTCTTATGAAAAAAATAACGCTTGATGCGTCATCATCTGCCAATTGTTTTAAACAGGAATTCCTGAAACGTATGACAAACGATTCCCGGACAAATATTTTATTCATTCATCTATTTCAGGCCCTGGGAGCTGGCGTTTTATTTCCAGTCCGTGATTGGCACATTCACGCCGCAGAAACGTTCGAGAGGGGAGAGGTGTTCAATTCAAACTTTTAAGTGCAATCACCCAAAGGGTGACAAAGATATGGTCATCTCTTTGACTTCCCAAAAAGAGAAAATAACCGCCACACCCCAACAAGAGAACTGAGAATTTCGAGGGAAAAGTGTTTTCGGACACACTGGAAGGTGAGTGTTGAATGGGTTGTCATTAGGAACATGTTCGAGACATTGGCACCATCGTCTGTTACTTACTTGAAAAGGATTCTCTTTGTTTGACTGTTGGGATTCCCCTTTATTACAGGACATCTATCAACAAAAGAAAAAGGAAGAACTATCCGTGAATACATGAGAAGCCATCCATGAGCATCCAAAGCGAGCCATGCGCATGGCGCAGACAATACAGTGCGAGTTCAAACACACGCGCACACACACACGCTCTGTGACGTTTGCTTTCACGCATAATGCAAGACTCAGAAGAAGACGGGAGGTCCTATCAAGTTGTGTTTTCTGACCCAACCTTGTTGAAAGTATTTACTAAAGCTGGGCGAAAGATGCCAGCAGCTATTTTATCAATTTACTCGGGGTGCAATATTCCACTCACATATTTTCATCGCTGAGAAACGCCGTCTCCAGGCTAAGTAAGCTTTGTTTAATCATTAGGAGCAGTGCACTGTGGCAATGAAATCAAACTTCCTTAATCGTGTTAGCTTTTTGGATCAAACATCAGTCATTCCTAAGATGAGACACTCTTTTACAGAAGATGGCTGCCCGTTACCTAGGTGAAGGACACCGTGTCTCTGCTCTCAGACATCTCGAGCAATAAAAGCCAAGTTTAAATTAGACCCATTAGCACGGACGGCCAAAGCCAGGCAGTTATTAACTAGTTCGGGTCTCATATAACCTGAAACTATTAGGCACAGCCACAACAAATGGCTTCAGGAGAGAACGTCTTTCACTTAAAATACTCTTTGTCGACTGCATTTTTGTTTTCAGTCGTTTTGGCAGCACTTCAAACACATTTCAGAACAACACAAGTACTCAAATGTAGGGACAGGAAAAAGTGCTACCATTTGAAAATCTCGATTATTGCGCATAGAATGTTGGGCAAAATGTGCTTTGCTGAGGCCGCGGCCTTTTTTAAGAGCAGAGAGAAAGACATAGAGAAAGAAAGAGACAGAGAGAGACGTCCAGTTGAAATGGAGCTTTGTGTGAGTGACAATTTGCACATCAACAATGAGAAAACCCCAACGAGAGGCTATTTCCCGGCATTCCTCCATTGGGGAGAATGCAGGGAATTAGCCCTGAAGTGCAAGTATCCCTGACTTAAGCCTTTGAGTTGAATACAGTACCTCGCACATATTGCACGGGAAAGGCTTGGATGCGTTCTCTTACATTCTTTGACCAAAGTCCAACTGTAATCTCTGATTCTTCGATTGATTCATTCTGAATAATAAATTATACATTGCTTTAATAGGGCCCCACCACTATGAAATATCACTGTCATCATAGTCATTGTCTCGACGTTTTGTGAGGTCCACCGTCTTGCATACATGGATGGTCACTTCAGTTGTCACTGCTCATAATTTCAAATGTGCAAAAATGATAAAGGGTTGTTGACTTGACATATTTTTATTAGTTCAAAGAAAAACGTGTTGCAGTGCTTTCAGATTGTGAATCTGGGATATTTTTTTATTTTTACAAACTTGAAATAATACCATTGTCATCGTCATTATAATTGTGGCATTTGCTTTTGATCTCCACTCGAGAGTACTTGCATGTGTGTTGAAATAATTTATACTAGGTTGCTATAAACCTGACAATGGGATATCATACATGCTGATGTGATGGAGAAAATGGTTTGGTTGCGTTTTCAGTGTAGTGTTGGGTGTGTCGGCCCTATGACAGTTTGCGGTGATGAACTGCAGACAGACCAGCAACGTCATCTTGAGATAAAAAACGTTTGAGTTGGCAGTACAGTAACTGTATAGGCTGCGAAGAAACCATGAACTAATAGCTTCCAAGCAGCGAGTCGAGTAATAACAGGCCCAATGGCACTCAGGCGGATGACTTCTTGTGCGCCTTCACTCACTTATTGAGTGGAGAATATTGACGCTATTGGGCCTTTGCCGCTCGACTACCATGCTACAACCGTGAGGAGCTACGACCGAGCGTGGAGGTGGACGACGTGCATTCAACCAAGAATGCATCTCAGAGGAGATATGGAAGTGAAGTGAGTCCGAGCACTAAATGGGACAGGAAAATTGAACTAATTCTGATGTACAAGGTATGCGTGTTAATCGCCAATGGTCGAACGATCGTTTGTGAGGAAACTGCTGTTGTTTGTTTACATTCAAATTCATCTTGCAGCAAACGTTAGTTACTTCATGCATGCTATGATTGTGAAACTGTAGTTTCAGTGTCCTGACCATCGATCATCACTGCACTCTCTTATTGGTTGTTGGAGACTTCAGCCTAATCTCTCTGTGTCTCTCTCTCTCTCTCTCTCATCTGTCTAACAAGAAAGAATACAATTGTACACCTCCAGTATGCTAAATGCAAATGTCAAGGGAGCACAGTTGTGTATTTTACTTCTTTTGTTATTTACTGTGATATCTTTACAATCGTTATTATCGTCATTTATGTTTTATGCAGCTGCGGTTGTTGTCGAAGTAGCCTACAGATAATGCTGTGTTGAGTTGTTTTCCCAGCTGGGCAACTGCAATCGTGCCCTAAGCCCCCCCTAGCTTAAAACATTTTTTTTTCAAAAGTTGTTCCAGGTGACTACCTCAGTACAATCACTTGGATGTTTAAAGGAGAAGAGAAATAGATAAAAGAAGGGTTTGTCACTTTGTTCTCTCACCACACTGTAACTTATTCATGTTGGCAGTCAGGGTTGTGCTTTACATGAATGTGTCATATGACTTCGTATTAGTCTGAGATTTCAGAGATCTCATACTGTACCGTGTTTTTTGGTGGGTTCAACAGGGAACAAGAGTGCCCAAGGCACGCTCCTTTGGGAAGCCTACGGCAAAGAACACATGCATGTACAGCCATGGGGGTACATCACGATGTACGACAATGGCTAACACGTGCGTAAACACACGGACGCAACAGGAGTGAAGGCATCACTGCGCATGCATGCAGACACATTCATCGGCCTATGACCTTCAGAAAAAAACACACACACGCACTCAACCACACTGCCCTTCCACCTCTCCTGTCTGTGTCCCATCACATTTCGAGAGTGATCACCTTTTCTTTGTTTCTTGTCTAGCTAAAGCAACAACATAGTGCTCGGGCAACAAGAGTAGTATCTCTCCTAAAGGCAGACAAGCCAACATTCATGCCAATTTGGTTATCAAACTGTGTATTACTTTACATTTCTGCCGACTGCTCATTTTGAAACAAGCCGTCAGAAAAGATTCCACAGTGTGTGCAGGCTCGTAAATGCAAGAATTGCGGACTTGTGAAGTGCTCATCACATTTTTTGTATGTAGGGAAAAGACAGCTGTGAGAGAAATTAAAATAATAGAGAAGACTCCCACCTGCAGGATGGCCCCATAAAGGCGCAGCAGAATACTCCTTGGCTCATCCCCAACAGTGTTCACACTGTCTGGGAGGCTGCACAGGAAGAGCTTGTTACTCAGCCCACCCCTGGAAGACACATAAATAAGTCACTATGATAAATAGACTAGAATGAACCACCAGATCCAGCAGTCTCTTTCGTTCTTTCTAATTTGACTAAGTAAAATTATGATTACATTGCAGTGGTTGTGTAATATACGCATCTGCCTTTCACAGAGAAAGTGTGAGTTCAATTCTCGGCCGGTGCCCCAATACCAAGCAAGTCACTTGCCCCAAGACTGGATAAATGGGTGATTTAAGTCAGAAAGCTCATCCGGTGTAAAAATTGCAGCAGAGTCACATGAGTGACTCGTTTTAGTGCGTCCAGACGGGACAAGTCAAAAGCAAAATAAAGAGTTTGATATCATTGATGACGCTGAATTTGGAACACTGTTTGCTGTCAGACTCACGTTTCCCATTCCTTTGTGGGGGGTGAATGTCGCATGACAAATTGGCACCCACCTATGAAGCAGTTACAAGTGAACCCCGATTATTATTGCCTGGCAACAATGGCCTCTTAATCCCGAAGAATCTGACCATTAATATACTCAAACTAATTTCTACACAACAGTTTTTATTACAATTGGACAGTTTCAATCATGACTTATTTTTGGTCTGTTTAAATTTGTCATGCATTGCTAACTTTTCAGTTCAATAGAGGAAGTATAATTTTCTTTCAATCTTAATGATTGGTCCACACGATTCAAGCACCATTATCATTTACAGCGCAAATTATTGTTGCTTTGAAAAAAATCTATTCGGCTTGGCAAATTAGTCAGTAGCTATAGAATTAGCAAAGGCCTGACGGACTTATCCGAAGACATGTTCAGATTGAATTTATCTAGAGCGCAGGTGTCAAACTCAAGGCCTTGGGGCCAAATCCAGCCCACTACATCAGTTTAAGACGCCCACTAAGGCAAATAAAGTGTGTCTTCAGCATGTTTCTTGATAAAAGGATTTGTTCTTTTAATTTTGGCAGAAAATATGGATTTAAAATGCTATGTCTTTTCGCCTTCTCTTCGCCTTACTTCACCCCGGGCTGTCTCCAACCAAAGACATGCCCTTCATTAACGAGTTGGGTGCGTTCATAAACAAGACCATAGCCGTTTCTCAATTCGTGTTCTTGTCCATTCTTTCGTCCTTGTGACCTAGTGAAAGGTCATCAGTCGTGACTCAAGTCCTGTTCCAATTGAAAGGTTGCATTCACCAAGAATGCACAAAATACACCAATGTTGTTCTTAGCTGTTAGCATAAAGCAAGGATTGATCAGTTGGAGACTTCTGAGTCCCAATTTGCATTTCATGTTGCTATTCAAATGGCTGAGGAGAGGACTCATATTTGTTTCAAACCTTTTTTTTCCAGCATTATCATATTACAGCAATACCTCTGAACATCACAAGTACAGAACCGTTCTAATTACAAAGATACTACAATCTTAGGAAGTACGTTCTTAGGAAGTCTGTACTTGCTGAGTTCTCAAGACTGTACTTAGTGTTCTTGATATTGAAACATAGTTACAGGCACAAGATAGGACCAGAGAGAGATGTTTTTTCAAACAATCATTTCAAATTCTACTGTCAGGTCATTTTTGTGAAAAATCCCAAATTTTACCCTTTGACATTTTTACAAGCAGTTTCCCCACCAAATCACTCTTCAAGTTAAATAAACATTCGTTATACTATTCTGCCACGGAATCCGTGATTTCTGATTTCACAATTTTTTTGTTCAGGAAAATACACACTAACAATGAAATGTAGGGGCAATGTTGTGGCAGTAATATGTTGCGATTATGATAACCATAAGTAACCATCGCTGTAATAGGTGATGAATTCAAATATCAAATAGCTCGAGCACTCCCGAAACTGTAGAAATAAATGAAAAGTATAAAAAGAAATGACAAATAAAAGTATAAAAATAAACGACAAAATAAACGACTCGATTTTCGAAAAAAATGTGTGAATTCGCGATTGACTGTGGCTATCAAAGTAATAAAGACTCTTTGAGGGTAACTGCAAATGTGGCCCATGAATTCGTTTAACAGCATGTTGTACGTTTACAGTCAACGTGAAGAGCACTGTAATTTAAAAGCAGATAATTTGCTACCCCTGGGGCCAGTGTGCCCAGTTTCAACGATGTGCCTTTGCTTTGAATAACATTTATCATCGCCGACACAAAAAGAACGTGACCTACCGCCGACACAAAAAGAACGTGACCTACCTTATAACGGTGATCTCGAAGTCGTCCTCCGCCAGGATTTTCCAGGACCCATTGAGGAACTCCTTGCACCAGAGGTAAGCATTTAACCGTGTGTCCTGGTCGGGAGTCTCGGGGCGGACCAGGTCCTTGCAATCCTGTTGAGCACCAGGCTGAACCTGCAAGGCGTTCTCGGTTACCAGCAAACCCAGCGACAGAGAGGGGGAAGAGGAAACCCCGTTGATAAATTTGGTCTTCATTTTAGCTTTTTAAACAGAAAAGCCACAAATAAAAAAAATACGACGAATTATATCGCTATATTAAGTGTTCACCGGTTTTGTTTCTCAAAATACTAAGATTCGTTGACTCGCTGTAGAATTTATTTTCAAGCAGTAGGTTTTCACGTTTTCTTCAATTTTAACGTGGAAAATTGCGACCGATTTGACGTTCAAGCTTCGTAAAGGGAAGGTCGCCGGACGTTGAGAGATCCTGCTTGGGAATGGGTGAGATGTTGCGGTGGTGCGGATTTACAGCGAAGATGGAAGGACGCGGAGGGCGTGGTCACATGACTCACATACACCAATTTAATTTCTTCTCCTGGTTGGTCGGCCCAGACACCGCCCAGCGGACGGTCATTGTGGGCTGGACCAAAACAAACGAGATGGCCGTGGTCCACTTCAAACGTGCATCACGTAACACACGCAACACTCCCGTCGACATGACAACGTTGTATCAGTGAAGTGAACACGTTGGTTTACCACAGATAGAAATCAAGACCGTTGAAGTCATCCCACATTACACACACAAACCTATGTATATATATATATGTACTACACTGTACATGCTAGGTTAGTATAAAAAATTCTGTTAAGGTTGGCTGATCAACCTCAAGTTAATGCATTGCGCAAATGTCCCGCAAATATAGCTAACAAATAAACGAATAAATAACGTAACGCATGATTGAATCTACATTATTCTTGTCTGCCAAGAATGTGGCCAGATTAGTAGAGTATATGAGTATTAATTTTGCAGTGTGTTCTCGTTAGTCTTTTCAAACATGATTGAAATCTACATGTGTAACTCAGGACAGTTATAGCAGGGAATGAATGAATGAGCCTATATTGCATGAGCTCAGTTTGTAAATATTTTTATTGTACTCACAATGGCCAGAAATATTAATTGGCAGTTGACCCTGTGCTGAGGTAGAATGCATAAACAGTCTTTTTGTACATTGGAACTTTAGTATGGTTCTTGTTTTAAATATATGCCAACTTGTTTTATTACTTTAACATATTTTGGTTGACAGCTAAATTATTTATACATATATATCGCGCCATCTTGATTAATGCATACATACCTTTAAATGTACATTTATATTTAACTATACAGTATTTCGCTGTTAAAGAGACAACCAAACGGGGACGTTTGACCTAAACCTTTATTTTGAAAACTAAAAACCGCATCGAGATACTTCTGCTCATCGAGCTTCCACTCTTCGAGGTGAGCGTGCGCGCGCCCTCTAGGCCTGCACTTTACATAGTACAACTCGGCGGCTTTTGATGACGTAACGGGTAGCTCAGCCGTCAACACACAAAAACAACACAAGTCAGCTGTCTGGCACAGGTTGCTGAGAGCCGAATTCGCAAAATACCGCTTTTTACTGTTCTACATTTTCTGTACTATCATTAACGCTTGAAGCGTCTCTATTCAACTTTTGATACAACGTGGGATTAAATAGCATCGATCGGAAACTCCTTTGTTTCCGTTTTGCTTTAGCCACTAACAGGTTAGCTTCACATATTGGGGGATCGAGGGTGCCGAGCCTGTTCGACACAGAGGTAAATTACACGTCTTCAATATGATGACCTATAAACGTCATTATTTTAACAATATGAACTGCTACAGAATCTAAATATTGACTTAAATTAACAGCAGTAAAGTTATCAATTGAACTTATTCTGACTGCTGATTAATATCTTGTTAAAATTGTCATGTGTTTTCACGTAGTATTTATACAATACGTCTTTATTTGTATTGTTGCTGCAGCTGTAACAAAGCGCTTTATAGAACATTTAACATAGAATAACAAAATATTACAACCGAACACGTTAACATAAAACAATAATACTATCGTATCAATGATTCCTGCATTTGCCTTGCTGTTTGAAGCTCAAACAAGAAGCTGTAATGTCCTTTGAGGAATACAGAGATTGGTTCAATTCTCCCATCCCATTTCGATCGGCTTCAATTCCAATCGCTGAATCTCAGTCTCCAATATGAAAAATCATGTTTGCCACCCTTGAGAATTGCTCAGAATTACACCATCCTCAAGGATAGCACAGAAAACTGCAAAAGCTTTTCAGTCATCATTGTGTCTGCAGTCATGTCCATTCAAAATTGATTTGACTTCAAATATCTGTCGACCAGCACTCCATAAGCTGAGTTATTCATGTGATAAAACACCCTTTGTTACAATCTAGATAGGCCTTTCAAAAGAAGATTTATTTATTTTCCTGCAGCCAAAAAATGTAATCCTTCCTGACTTTACTTTGTCATTGCTTACTTTAAGCCAAAGAGACAGATTTATGGCAAAGCCAGACCACAAGACTTCCCGGTGGAGATTCTGACACCCACCATCAGCCACCGTTCTGACCAATCAACATGTCTCCGCGGAAAAGACCCTTGGTTCCTGTAAGCAACCGTCGCAAAACAGAGGACGACTACTTCCCTTTCCACTTCCTGCCTGTGGAGTGCCAGCTCCATGTGTTGTCTTTCCTGAATGAGGTGGATAAATGTAGCTGTGCTCTGGTTTGCTTGAGCTGGAGTTGCCTTGTTCGTTCCTGGAAGCTGTGGCGGGTTGCTGACTATTCCCGTCGCGGCGTCTTCCACCTGGGGCAAGAGGGGCTGCTCGTGTCCAATCGCGAGTTTGAGAGGTGGAAATCCTGGGTTCACCTCTACACGCACCATCTCATCTCACGCCGAGCCAGCCTTCTCACTCTGAAGGCCAGCTTTGATTTGGGGGATCGCTGTAATAAGTGGGGTGACCTGCTCTGCCACCTGTTGGATAATGTCCACTGCAGGGATCTCAGTCACCTTGACCTCAACTGGACGTTTACGCATCTTGAACCTCTGGATCTCAGGGTGCATTCTAGCTCCAGTTCCCACCAGGACAGCATTACTAAGATGGACCAGGTAACAATATTCAGCTGCATTTTATTGACACGTTCAACAGACATGTAGTCAGCCACTCACAGACAGTAACGGGTCAGTTAAAATCTTGATATTTGATGGTCATGTAGCTGAAAGATAAAACGACAAAACACATTTTTGGAAACTTATACTACCACTTCACAAATGTTGTTTTTGAGAGTTTGCAGGTGGAGATTGTTTTAACTTTGTTTGTGCTGTAAAATTAGGGGTGTACATCACTCCAATAAAAGATGACTCGATACATATCTCGATACACGGAGTGCGATTCGATTCAAGGATTGTTCGATTTTAAAGTGGAATGATTGGATTTGTATTGTCATTTTACATATGAATGAACTTGTCAGTACTGTGGCATTTTCTTCATGGATATAGTTCACCAATAAAAGACGATTGCGCGTCATTTCCGGACTCCAAAACAAAAATTAAAATCTGCAACATCAATATTTAGTCGTAACAACAAGTTTTTACATTCAGTACACTGGCCAATGCATATTCTCCCCGGGCCTGTGTAGGTTTTCTCTGGCTCCTCCGGTTTCCTCCCACATTCCAAAAACATACGTGGCAGGTTAATAGAACATTCTAAATTGTACCTCGGTGTGAGTGTGAGCATGGTTGGTTGTTCATCTCTGTGTGCCCTGCGATTGGCTGGCAACCGGTTCAGGGTGTCCCACGCATACTGCCTGAAGAAAGCTGGGATAGGCTGCACCCTTGTGAGGATAAAAGCGGCTCGGAAAATGGATGGATGGTCCTCCGTATTTTACCATGGAACATTTGCAATGAAAGAAGTCACACAGATGGATTTAGAAAAAACTTTTATTTACCATACTCGTACACCCCCCTGCCCCCCCAAACAATGCAGAACACAGCTATTTACACAGTAGCGTCCCAGAGGCTTTCTCAGGCACTCTCGTTGTCACATGAAGCCAATTCGCTGATGAGCTTCTCCACCCAGCAATGCAGCCTTTGGGAACCAGTTTATGTGCTGGGGACAGACATGGAAGCGGATGTCGCTCCATAGTGGGACTTGTTGTCCTATCATTGCCAAAAACCCAGCATTTGATCTTCTTGATTGTGTGAACTTTTTAGATCTACCGTACACTATATGTCTCGTTCCCGAATGTTAGGACACTGTCTACAAATTTCATTTGTTTTGACAGGTGACCAATTTCCAGGAGCTGTTGACCAAACTCACCCAGAGTTGTCCTCGTATCACCAAGATGAGGTTACACTTTGACTGGTCAGATTTGTCTGTGTCGCTGCTCACTCAGTTCCAGCAGCTCAAAGTCCTTGAGCTGAAGTACTTCTGGGTTTTCAAAGGATTGACTCCATCCACACTGCAGACCCTAACAACATCCCTTCCCAACCTAAAATCTCTCACCTTACATATCCTGGTGCCGCTGAGGAACTTGGGTATTTCTTACACACTGGAGTCGCTTTCTTTGGAGTTCTTGGACGTGTCACCGAGCAGAGGCCTGGTCTTCTCTTGTCTAAAGCTGCCCGCTCTGCGTGAGCTCAGAGCCAAGAAGATCGTTCGCGGCATCACATTGGACAGGCGTACCAGGCTGAGGATCCAGAGTCGATGGCCCTGCTTGTACCATGTCCTTCGAGAAGGAACGCCAAGGCTCCAGGCCCTCAACAATGAGAGACTCCTTCCTACTTGGAGAGAGAAGAGCTATGGGGAACTCTCGGCCATCCTGGATGGTTCTTGTTATTGTGTCCAGCATCTAGACAGCTGGCTTTGGTAACCAACCAAATCTGTGAATGTAGTTTTATTTCTCAAGGATTGTTTTACTCCGTTTATTCAGAGGGACACAAATAAGAGGCATAAGAAAAGTGACATTCATATGATAAAGTCGGCCATTTCCGCATACAGTATTCCCAAAATCTCCTGCCGTTTGTTTGCACAGCCCCATAAAAGGTTTTCAGTAAGCAGTGAGTTGAAAGCCTTTCAGTCAGTTCAAAAAACAAAGGGCGCCCTTCAAATGAGAACAGGGACATGTAAGATGTTTCCATGATGGCGATCACAAATGTACACACACACACACACGAACACACATTCAGTTTTCAAAGATGTCAATGTTGATTTTAAGGAAGAAAAGGTCTGGACCAAAAACAGTGAAACACGAAAATGAATGCTTAAAATACGATTACGTTGTACAAACCCAATTCCATTGAATTTGGAATGTTGTGTTAAACATAAACAAAACCAGAATACAATAATCGGCAAGTCATTTTCAACCGATATATATAATTGAATACACTACAAAGACACAATTGTTTAATGTTCAAACTCATAGACTTTGTTGTTTTCAGCAAATAATGATTCATTTAGAGTTCCGGCTGTAACGCTTTCCAAAAACGCTGGGACTTGGTCATGTTTACCACGATATTGCATCACATTTTCTTTTTAGATTCTTTAAAGTTTGGGAACAAAGGACACTAATTGTTGAAGCTTTGTATATGGAATTATTTCCCATTCTTGCTTGATCTGCTGGTCTTCTTTGGAATTGGGTTTGTACCTATATGAAAATGAATGAATTCATAGCAAAAAAAAAAGAATGCAAATATGGAAAAAAATCAGTTGTGCATTGTTTTTTTTTTTTCCTATTTTTGGTGGATTTTTTTTCTAATGAAATATAAGTATTCAAAGTCATCTGTCAATTCAGTAACGGTGAAAGACCATATTCAGTAGCAGTGAAGACTACAAAAAGCTTTAAAAAATCTTTCGGACTTTCAGCTTCTGTAAAACCTTCCAGTTGCAACTGGCTGCTAAATAAACTTTGAGAGAGATACTTTCTGCTCTTGTAATTCTGATTCAAGCCTATCAGAAATGCAGCACAACTTAGTCTGGGTTCAAGCAAGCGCTGGACAAATTATTGACGAAAAGATTTTTTAAATTGGCAATCGTGATGTGTTATGTTGTTTCTTTGTACGGTCTGTCCTTTTAAATTAAGCTAGATACGTGTGTAATCATATTGTACTTGCAAATGTAATATTTTAAAAATAAAACACTCCTTGCTTTAAAAAAGGTTTGTTCCACCCAGTCCCTCCCTCTAACCTCTCTCCCACTTCTCCCTGACACAGAGCAATATGGTGCCTTCCAGTGATAATTGAGTTGTGATATAAATCCATGGCTTAAACCAGGATATATGGTTCTACCCTTCAATACCAACACTCTATGATTATTATTATCATGATTATCATTCCTCGTGTTTCCTGCATTTAATCGTAACTTATTGTTCATGTTGTTAGGTTGGATGGAATTTGCTGGTATTTTTTCGAGAGGTGACATGTTTCATATGGTCAGAGATGGCGCCATTGTCCTATCTTTGAATTAAAATGAGAGAAGCTAGCAGTCGTGTCGTATTGATTTTAAAGCCCAAGTGCGAATGACAACAGGCTTTGCATTTCAACTCCTTTTAAGACACAGAGACAGTGGGTACATTTGCGTTGAAATGTACAAAATGATGAAATTATATTGCTCAGCACCCCGAAACCTCTGATCCGAGAAAGCCCCCTGCTGTGATGCACGGAGTAACATTGCTCGACTGCAGTTAGCGAACAGTGATGTTGAATTTAGATTATAGACTGTGGGTATGAATTATGTGAAAATTTTTTAACCCTAAACAGGATTTTACGTTATGAACAGAATACTCTTTCTGTTTGGTTTCTCCAGCTGAGTAAAACAAGCAGTGCTTTTGCAGTGACACACACTGTTCAGTAGAGGCTCTTATTGTCAATCTTTTGCCTATGAACACAGACTGCTAATCATTCTGCACATTGATAGAGTAACATTGTTCTCTAAACTAGTGGATTGTGATTATTTCATTGGATGATATATTTAAAGCGTTCTTTGCTGAAAATAACTAACTGTACTTTGTGTTCTAGTCCCCTTTAAGAACTGTTTTTGAGTCATAGGTGTTGCATTCATATAGGCTTTTCGGTGTATGCACCAAGTGTGTATTAAACCAAGTCATTCCAAACCTGCTTTGCAAAGACTTAACTACATGTGCATTTTACTCAGCAATGGTGTAATCTGTGACTGTGTTGAGTTGGAGGCCCCAAGATTAAGGGTGATGTAATAACAACAGGTCCATTCCACACCTTTGAAAATATGAATGGGTCTAACGGTACTTGAATTTGTGAGGAATAAACACTCCTTGCGGTCTTTAAATCACCGAATCCATGTTAGTGTGCCAGCTGTCTACTTACTTTGATCAATACTTTGACTGAAACTGCTTTTATCACCCCACGAGGGTCACGAGTGTGCTGAACTGGTTGCCAGCCAAATGCAGGGCACACATAGAAAAACAAACATTGGCACTCATAATCACACAAAGGGACAATTTTGAGCGTTCAATTAACCTTGTATGCATGTTTTTGGAACGTGGAAGAAAACCAGTGTACCCGGAGAAAACCCATGCAGGCACGAGGAGAACCTGCAAACTCCATGCAGGAAAGCTGAGGCCTGGAATCGAACCCATGACCTCTGCTCTGTGAGTTGGATGTGCTAACCAGTCTATTGCTGCGCCGCCGAAACTGTTTATACTGCTTTTTTAATTGAACCAATATACTTGTGGAGGCTCTCAGTCGTACAGGAAAGTTCCATCGTAGAAAGGGTTCTGTCAGTCGTCATCTGTACCTGTGGGTAAAAAACAAAAAAAACAAAAAAAAATCAAAAAAGGACGTTTCGCTTCTCTCACAGAAGCTTCGTCAGCGGTAGACAACCCTGAAGTCTCCGTGAAGACTCCGGGAAGTTGCTCTGCGCTAAAAAGCTGAGCGTGGCCTGTTTGAGGACTGGGTGGGGATGGTTAGTCACGCCCCTATTGGTTTATTAGTGTCTGTGTACCTTATATTGCCGGCCTCTCAGAGAAAATACAAAGAATATTTCTACAACATGATTTTCCTGTTTATTTTAAACCGATAAACACATTGAGACAAAAACTAGTACACCCCAAAGACCGGGTTCCTAACACCCAAAAATGCAATCTGATTCATTCCATCCGTTGCCAAGAAAGTGAGTGCAAGGAACATTACATTGGAGAAACCAAACAAACACTCAAGAAAAGACTTTATCAACACAAATGGAAAAACAATGATAACAAAAGTGCAGTATACGCACACTTAAAAGAAACAAACCACACAATTGAAGATGAACAAGTAAAAATCATAGGAACAGAAAAGAGATGGTTTGAAAGGGGAGTAAAGGAAGCGATTTTTGTTAAAAAATTTTCACCCTCTCTGAACCGTGAAGGAGGTATCAGATTTAACCTGTCTCCTATTTACAACAACTTGTTGACCACCAAGGGACATAGACATGCTGATCAGGCCAAATGAAAGTAGCTATTCAGCCCTAGCCCAAACAATAGGCCTAATCAAGACCCAACGATAGGGAATTTAGAAATCAATGGGCCTCTTCACCATAGGGGCGTGACTAACCATCCCCACCCAGTCCTCAAACAGGCCACGCTCAGCTTTTTAGCGCAGAGCAACTTCCCGGAATCTTCACGGAGACTTCAGGGTTGTCTACCGCTGACGAAGCTTCTGTGAGAGAAGCGAAACGTCCTTTTTTGTTTTTTTTTTGTTTTTTGTTTTTT